TGTGTGTGTGTGTGTGTGTGTGTGTGTGTGTGTGTGTGTGTGTGTGGTTGAATAGGGATTATGGGCAAGGAGGTGTCCATAAAGACAAGTATGAAATATCATGTTACACAGTAATACATGAAGTATTTGTAACTTTGTCATTAACTGATACACATTTTTATATCAGAATATGGATGCAGACACTGCAAATGTTATTTATAATCAACACTCAAAATTAAGTCATTAGACTGCCAATAGGTTTTTGTTATTTATTGTATTAGTCATTACATTATTATATATTTGGTTTTCGATATTTTTGTAAGTATTGAAACCCAAATCACTGTAATAGGTATACCTGTAATCCCATAAACTTTACTTTATAGATTTAAAATCACTGTAAGAAGAGATTATACAATTCATAGGATTACCAAAAGGCACATGGCATAAAAATATAAGAACTCTTGCTAAGGGACCAAAGAAAACAAAACAATTGCTTTTTTGTTGTGGTGGTAATAAATATATCCTATAGCACTATCAGATTATGATATTCATGTGGGCCTTTTTTTTTTTTAAAGTAGAAACACATAAGATGTGTGACTTCTCAGGATTCTTTTTTTTAACTAAACAAGCGCAGATTTTACTATGATTTCCACTTAACTATGAATATGCTAGAGGAAAAATTACTATGTTACATATTTCACATGCATCCTTCTTTTCCTGTTTATTACTGTACCTTTGTCAATTTGTACTTTGAATTTTTCTTTATGCTTGGATAAATTGTATAGACAGTGAAATATACAGTACAATTCCAACCTCTCATAACAACCAACCCAATCAAGACACAGACCACTTTCATCACCCTCAGAAAATTACTACAATAATAAGAGATTGGTTTGACCTTGTCTTGAATTTCATATAAGTGAATCTTGATGAAAATTTAGAGACCAACCCATCATTGCTACCTGCCATATCTTCCTCTCTGGGCTTACCCCAACAGAAAATAAATATGCAAAGAATTGATCTGCAAAATAAAATTTTCTCACAGAAAACCTACAACGTATATGTGAGCAGAACAAAAGTATCTGGGAAAATTAAAAGTTTATTTTGGATCATTCTGGGTCTGGCAACTTTACATTTTCAACTCTAGTATATAAACCAACACTTTATTAAGGTAGATGCATATCCCTTTTTTTTATAAAGTCCAGAGAATTTATTCACATGTGGCAGCCATACATACTTATTAAACTAAATATCTAAAGTCTGGACAGAGTACATACATACCAACAAGATCAGAGTGGTTAATCAAGGGTTTTCAGGGAGAGATGGCTTTCACTATTCATTTTCTACATTTCTGCAATTAGTTAAAACTTTCCATAAACAGGGCCCGCCTGGTGGCACAATGGGTTAAAGTGCAGCATTATGAAGCTATCAAAGGCAGGAAGCTAATCCATATGGCCAGCAGACCTCTCCTGTTCCCCCACCCCACCCTGCTGCCCCGCCCCCAAACCCCATCCCCAACCCGCTCTCAGCGGCTTACTTCATCAATCTACCTGTTCTGCTCCCCACTCTGTCTCAGGTAGATGCTCTCTCACACACACACACCTACACCTCTGGCCTATGCCCAGATTCAGCATGCATAAATAAATAAATCTTAAAAAAAAACAACAAAACTTTCCGGGGCCGCTATGGTGGCACAGTGGGTTAAAGCACAGCACTAAGAAGCTAAAGCCACTTCCGCAAGAGTTCGATCCCCACCTGCCCCGGAGGTGATCCACATGGCGCGACCGACGCTCCTGACCTGCCTGCTGCACCCCTCAGCAGTGTACTTCACGGATCTGCCTGTGCTGCTCCCCACTCTGTCTCTGGTGAATCCTCTCACCGCCCCTGCACCTCTAGCCTGTACCTGAGTTCTATATGTACAAATAAATCTTTAAAAAAAAAAAAAAAACTTTCCATAAACATAGACTATTTTCAAAAGAACAGTTTTCTGTCCTACTATATTTTCTCAAAAAATACTTAACTGATAGTTACATCACTCTATTTTATCTCTAAAACGTGGACTTGAAAACTTAGAAGTCCAACACCTTCTGAACAATATTTTTTAAGTATGCGTATCATTCACACTTTCATATACTATTTTTAAGTGAGGAAAAAATTAAGAATCAGGGGTTTTATGTGTGATAATAGCTTCCTTGAAAACTCATTACTTTTAGGGCTTCTCTGGTGGTACAGGGGTTAAAAGTTTCAGTGCTATCAAGCTATTGCCAAGCACTGAGCCAGCCACTGCAACACAAGTTTGATCCCTGGCCAGTGGGGTCACCCACATAACTCAGCAAACTTCTCCTGTCTCATCTGCTGCTCTCCTCAGCCGTATATTTTAGTAGATCCACCTGTTGTGCTCCCCACTCTGTCTCTGGTGAATTCGCTCAACCCCACCCTACCTCTGGCATACACCCCAATAATTGTATGCATAAATAAGTAAATCTTAATAAAAAGAAAAATAATTACTTTTAGTGGGACTCACACAATTCCTGTTTATATATATATATTTTAGGATTTATTTATTTGTGCATACAGAACTGGGGTGCAGGCCAGAGGCTCAGGGGTGGTGAGAGGCTTCACCAGAGACAGAGTGGGGAACAGAACAGGC